AATGGGCCAGCTCTTTGCCAGCCCCCCTCTCAGTCCTGCTGAGTGTCCCTCCTCCTCTTTTTCCTTTGGGCCTCCACACCCTCCCACATGAATAGAGAAAGGAGGAAGCTTGTGTGAAAAGGAAGAACAAGGCATTCCCATTCACCGTGCACTTCAAATGGGCATTGTATGCTTGCTTACACCAAACATGGGGCAGTTTCTAGGGAATTTTCTTACTCCCCCCCCCCCCGCCATCATTCTTCCTCCCCTTTGTATGGCCTGCTGCTGAATCCTGTCAGGTTAGAGCATTAAAGCTGAAAGATCTGGATGAGCTGAAAAGAAGCACACTTGATTTTTTCCAACCCAGGGTTGTTATGAGCACCTTCAGGAGGCAGAATAGCACCAGAAAGTTGCGTAATTGATCCTTAAAAACATTGAAAGTCAGAGAGAGTGGTTTATTAAATGGATTTCTTAAACAAGTTGAGGACTTTCTGGAAGGAGGAAGCCTGTAGGTAATCTGAGATGCTCAGCTTTGTCCTCTTCTTGCTGTGAATATGAAAAAAGATGCAGCTTATAATTGCTTGTCTTGGGTCAGTTAGTGACATTGTGCTCCTGGGGTGGGGGTGGGGGTCAGGAATCCTATTTTGAACAATGCAGTAACTTTGGTTCGCTTAATATTTGTGATTCCAAAGGAATCCTTTCGATTAAGATTTCTAACTTTAGGTCCTAATGATGTGGGCTTTAGTCCACTAAAAGGTTGTCACACAAGAAATCTTAGTTGCTAAGAAACTCCTTGGGTCTTTTGCTCATTTCATAATAATTTATGATGAGGCCAACAAGGTGTGGTGTTAATCATACAAACTTTGAGATTATGTAAGAGAGCGTCCTAGAAGCAACTGGTCAGGAAGTGCGGGGAAAGGTATGTGCCTTGTAAAGAGGAATTGATAGAACAGCAATATTTCAACTTTATGAGATTTATTGTTATAGTACATGAATATGCCTCTGCTTGTGCTGCGGGTCTACAACATGATTAATAAAGCACATCAAACAATATTAAGGCCAGGATCATCCCTTTCCATTGTATTTAAATAATGCCACAGTTTTAGCATGAACTCAGTTAGATTTAGTTTTAGTGTATTTAACTGTATGAGAATTTGTTGTTTTAAATATGCTAAAGATTAAACTTCCGTCGGCTTGCACACGCTGAGAAGCTGTGTGTCCTCAGAGTCTGAGTCTGCTCGTGAAAATTTTGACCTGCACTATTGAAGTTATTGATAAGGTTAATAGCATCACTAATAAGGTCAATAGTACCATATCCAGCATCTAAAGCAGTGTGCTTCCCTGTACCAGTTGCTGGGGAGCATGAGATAGGAGTTGGAGGTGGGCGTCCCTGCAAGCAACTGGCTGGCTACTGTGTGGACAGAATGCTGGTTCACAAGGTTTCACTTTCAATTTTATGTATGTGTTCTGGCTTCTCTTCCACCTTTCCTGCTTCCAAGTGAACTAAACTTGGACTGGGTTCATATGGTACACTAACATAAGCAAAGTTAAAAGTTTGCAACTTGTTAGGTATAAAGTAAATTATGGAATTAAAAATTCCCTTTGAATGGGTTGTGGAGCCAATCCGTAAGCCTGGTCTCCTGGAAACACAGTTGGGGCCTAGCCTGAGGTTTTCTAGGCAGGTCCCTTATCATGAGTCACAACCTTTGTCCATCTGTTCTTGTTGGCGCCTATTGGCAGCGGCTCACTGGGGTTTTGGGCATGGTTTTCATCCGCCATACTAGAAGATCTTACCAGGGGTTGAACCTTGGACTCTTTATACTGCCCTTCCCTTTTCTTCTCCCTTGTGTGAATAAGACAGAGTGAAAGCTAATAGGCTGGCCAATTTAGAACAAGTCATTGTTTGTGGTCCTTTGTATTTAACTCTGGACTGCATGATCCTCACACCAACGTTAGTCCAAATCAAGATTAAAAAACTGGGGTAGTAGATTATTTATTTATTTATTTTATTTATATCCTGCCTATCTGGTCGGTTAAGACCACTCTAGGCGGCTATGATGCTATAAATCAGGAAATTTCCAGTCCATATCTTGTTTCTGCCATGAACACACTGGATGGTATTGGCAGATCACATTATTGGGCTTCATCCATGCCCCTAACCTGGTTCCGCAATATGTGAGGTAATGTTCTTAACTGGCCATTTCCTTGATTTCATGTCTGAATGCATGTGAATAGCGTTTAGGGGCATTCAGCAGATATACAAGTGCATTTCTATTATAGGAACAGGATTTCAAATCCTTAACTTCCCTCTATTTTGACTTAATAACAAAATTGTGATTGTTCTAAAGTGGAAGTAGAAGTGTTGACTCAGTTAAAGAGAAGTGCTTGTTTCTTCCTTAAACCAAGGGCTCTGAACTGTAGTCAGACTGCTTGTTCGTGTTACAGATCCCTGGTGGTTTCCAATGAAAGATGGCTACCTTTGCTCCACAAATATAGTGAATGGCTGCGTTCATCTTATATAGGAATATAAGGAAATAGGATATAGGAAACACTGGGTCCTAGAAAATGGCAGGCTTTCAAAATAAGGTCATTTTTGGGAACATTTTCTTAATTTGAGTTCAGAATGGAAGCCTGACTTTCAGATATGCCATGTAGAAGTAATTTCAGGTTCAACAGCTTGCATATTCTTCCAGTCACAAACGTTTCAAAAGACTGTCACGTGTTGAAAGGGGAGATGGAGGATGATCTCAGTCTTTAGCATGTCTGTTCATAGAAGATAAGGCTGTCTCTAGTGGCAGCTGTAGATCACCTCCCATGTTAAAGGCATGGAAAACTCCTATACCTAGAGAACTCTGAATTGGACTCACCCTCAGTCAGCATCAACTTGACTTCCTGTCACTGGGATGGGAGGCCTGGTGCCTTGGCAAGGCATGGAAAACCCGTCCTGAGTACTCTATACCTAGAGAACTCTGAACTGGACTCGCCCTCAGTCAGCATCAACTTGACTTCCCGTCACTGGGATGGGAGGCCTGGTGCCTTGGAATGTTAGCTGGTGTGGAATATGAACGGAGGCTACTGTGGTGATCAAACCATGATAGGAATTATGCGTTCTTGTTTGATCATTCCTAGAAGGTGACGGGCCATTTCCTCCCTGGCACTAAGTTGCATACATCTTCTTTCTGCTGCCCTGAATCAGGGACACCCCATGCACTTGGAAGCTATTGTGTGAAAGGCATTGTAAATGTTCATGTTTGTGGTTAGATCAAAATTGTTGTGTCTGTTCTTCGTGATATAGATCAGTGGTCCCGAACCTTGGGCCTCCAGATGTTCTTGAACTACAGCTCCCAGAAGCCTTCACCACCATCTCTGCTGGCCAGGATTTCTGGGAGTTGAAGTCCAAGAACATCTGGAGGCCCAAGGTTGGAGACCACTGATATAGATGATATATCAGTGTCGTTTGCTCATATGATGGAGATCTCAAGCGCAATTTTGAGATCTTATGAATTTCAGCTTCCTCTTATTCTTTCATTTTTGTTCCCTACTGTGTGCAACTCAGCGTTAGACAAAGCTGTGCAGTATAGGTATATTTCCTTGTTTCTGAATTAAGCAAGTTTGTATTTACTTGCTTGTGAGATGTCTGGAATCATAGGGGATATTTGGCCAACATTCTATTAAATTATCTTGACATTAAATAAATAAATAAATAAATATAATTTTAAAAAATCTAATCTAATGTCAGGCCAATTGATTTCACTGGACCTGCTCTAACTGAGACAGAAATTGGGTTTAACCCATTAAATGTTACACTCAATAAACAGTTTTACAAAACGTTACAACAGCTGTTTGGAACCCCATACGTGAAGAATAATTTCCTTTGAGCCAGTCTGAATGAAGAATCAGAACTAGTAATGGTTAACGGTGAGGTGGAATTGTCTAGTTTGGATCAGACCTCAGCCAGGTGGTGGCTTTTGCCAGACTTCTGTTTTCTTGTCTCAGGCTCCCATCTGTAGTATGATTACTGATCCTTGTTACTTAATAATGCATTACCGAAATGCACGGAATATGAAGGGGAAATAATATAAAGTTTCCCAAGCTGCCCCTTCTTGATGGAACGCCACTGATTCGAAAAGGAGTAGTGGTAATGACCACACTTCTGTAATAGGAAGGAAACTGATTGCTTACGGTCAGATAAGCCTATGGTCAGATAAAAAGATATGCAAGTTTTCCCCAATTTCTTCCTTAAAAAAAAAAAGGAAAGGAAAAGAAAAAAAATCATATGGGCAAGCTTATTGAGCTGTTTCTAATTCCAGGTTAGCTCTTTTGGCATGAACTAACTAACATTGTGGAAGTGCAATACAGTACTTAGTATTTTTAGGGGAAGCGTAATCTTAGAAAGGGCCATAAGGAGCTCCCCTGTGCCAGCCAGGGTGGGCTCTTTAGTCCAGCCCAGCGAGTTTGAACAAACAGTAGCACTCAGGCAAAGGGGGGGCCGATGTTTCCCATCAGCTGATCCAATCCTTTGAGCTGGAAGCGCCAGAATCGAACCTGGGACCCTCTGAATGCCCACCAGTGTTCTTCTGAAATCTTGTTCTTTCCTGCTTGGAGATACAAAGTCTGTTTTTAAAATAACTTTGGCACCTTCCTCAAAGTAGAGGATTAACCTCACTGTGAGAGCAAGTTAGGCTGATCAGAAGTGACTTGTTTGAATTCACCCTGTGAGCTTCAGGGCTAAGTAGGAATTTTTATCCAGAAGTAAAACTCTGTCGCAACCTGATAAAGATTCCTCAGGTTCTCTGAGGATGTCTTTTGTTCTGATTAGTTCTGAAAAGTCTCCCAGTAGTTTCCTACAAATAGTAAATTTGAAAGTGGGCATTCTTGTAAGGAGAAATGTTGGACTTCTGAATTCTCTTCTGTAAATAAAAGGTTTATTGTAGAACAAAAATGAAAGTAATTTGGGAAAAACATTTCTGTGTTTCTGCAGTGCTGCTGGCTGATGTATCAATCCACTGTTGTGTTCACAGGTCAGTATGGAAACCCTCTGAATAAATACATAAGGCATTATGAAGGACTGTCATATGATGTGGATTCATTACACCAAAAACACCAGCGTGCCAAAAGAGCTGTGTCTCATGAAGACCAATTTTTGCTCTTAGATTTCCATGCTCATGGGAGGTAAATATGATGTCACGTGCTTTAATCTGTATCCTTTGATGTTGCTCAAAATAAGTGAATATTTCTAAAATGTCAAGTCCCCAATTTGTTAACTTCAAATTGCAGAATGTGTTGAATAAGTTTCTTCAGGTTTTTCTTTCCATTCTCAGAACAGAGCAGGATGGCAATCTGCACGTCCCACCTTTGGGGGAAGACTGTCACTTTCAAGATTTCAGTAGCTCAGGAACATCACAGCTTTTAACTAGTCCAGGTTGCACTTTGGTTCCAATATATTTATTCCTGTGACTGTATCTGTTTGTAGATGTATAATGAATTGTGGTTAGTATTTGTTGCCAAATTTATTATGTTCTCTTGCCTGTGCAAACTGAAACATATACATTTCGGCACAGATGTAAGGTCAAAAGAAACATCAGGTTGGAAACAGCTGAGTCAGCCATTCACATCAAAGAAAGAGTGTGTGTGTCAATAAAACGTGCATACCCATACGAAAACAAAATGGCATAAATATGGCAAGATACAGGAAACTGCTGACTAAAAGAGTATGCCGTGCAGGGGCAAGAGCAGTCGCTCCAGGAGAAGGAAAGGAGAGGGGGGGGGTTAATGACCAGGTGATCCTGTCACGAATTCTTGTGGAGGAGAGGGTCGCTATTCAAGTTGGGATGATATTTTGCCCACATCTCTTGACTGTCCCAGTTTAGAGTTACCCTTATGCTTCATTTCGTTGGCTGGTAACGTGAAAGTCAAGGAGGTATTGGCGTCCTTCCTTTAATATAATGAGTGGAGGCTCTGCTTGGGTAATTAGACACTCACCCTTCGGAAGCTATACAGGACCCTCTTCTCAACCGTGGAAGCCTTTGAGCTTGCTGTGCTGCTTCTTTTGGACCAAACTGATTTGGTTTTTTTAAAGCCAGGACATCACACTAAAGAAGTAAGGCACAAGCTACAGCTGCACAGCTGCTTTCTAACACAAACAAGATGCAAGTATTGAACAGCTGCGTGTTGTCACATATTCAGAGAGGAAGAAATTCTTCCTTGATGTGGTTAAACTGTGGTCAGGGTCATGTTGCCCTACTGCGTGGTTGGTGAGGCGTTTCCATAACTCCTGCAAGGTAGTATCCAGTACCACCTTGTACAGTCATAAGTCCCATTAAAAGCAGAGGAGGAGAGGGGAGGGGAGCAATCTCCCAACATAAGAGTAAGGTGGAGGCAATGGAACACCTCCGAGTGTTTTGCTCTGCCCCTGCCTCAGAAGGATTCTGAACTATGGTTTACAAACTTGTCTCAGCGACGGTTGCCTTCTTCCAACCCATAGTTAAGTTGCTAAGTGGTCATTTGAGTTGATCTCTGACTGGAGCCAGCATTAAAGCTTAAATAGTAGAAAACCGTGTGATGCAATGACCCAGATGCCTTCTAGAAGCCCAATATTATGCTGATATGTAGCCTATTGGGAAAGGACTCTTAAGCGAAAACTTTGCTAAGGCTTCCCTTGTCAGGAGGCGGAAGGTGTAGAGATCACAAGGGCTTGGAAGTCATTTCATTGTGGAGGTAGAGAAACCTGTGTCAGTTTAATGTCAAGAGAAGCGACTGCATGGAAAAAAAAAAACCGTAAGTGAAGCAAATCTGGTTGCAAATAGTGATGTGTTCTCCCACTTTTATGGTGGAGAGGATGAATGTGGCAATACATGAAAAACCAAATTTTTCTGGGCAAACCTGTTAACTAATCCTGGCTTTGAACCTTCCCTTTTCCCAATTTGGTCCAGGCCTGCTTGCCTATTGGCTTATTTTCCTTTAGTGAGAATTGCTAACAAGAAGACGGTAGATGCTGGTCCGCCTGGGTAATCAAATGGATTATGGCTAAGGAGCTTTATCCCAGCCTTGGCTTCCTGCCGAAAACGAAAGAGCCAAGAGAGACTGCCCCTGTTCCAACAGGCTAATAAAAAATGTCCGCTTTTCTCCAAGGGGTGGAGGTGGGGGGGGGGGTTCAAGCTGGTGGTGGAAAACACTTTTAAAAACCATATTGAGAGTGTGGGGAGAGGAGATACTATTGTATACTACCTCACAGGGTGTTTTTTCTCCTGTACTAAGTTATACCCTGATATAGTACTGGGTCTTCTAGCAGGATAAAAAAATTACTCATAGATCTGCAGAGGCTACATGGAGTTTTGAAAGCTTGGGCGGGGGGAAGAGAGAGAGTTATGCGAACATCCTGTGAAAACCAAGGCAATATGCAGAGAGGTGCTTAACAGGGTTCAGGATGTTCATTTGCACTTGCACATCAACAGTCCCCATTCTGAGGTACTTTTCTGTTTCAGTTCTGACTTTTCCCTCTTGCAGGCATTTTAACCTTAGAATGAAGAGAGATATGTCCCTCTTTAGTGAGGACTTCAAGCTACAGATGTCAGATAAAGAAGTTGATTATGACACTTCTCACATTTACACTGGGCACATTTATGGTAAGTTGAGCGATTTTTAATTTCATTTATCTTAAACTTTTTTCAGATCATATGCGGCAGAGCAGTAGGTCTGTTCTTAACAAGGGAAATAATTTTGGTTTCACTTCAAAACTTCCTCTTTCACAAGTGCCTTCACTTGTGCTTGTCATAAGGGCAGAGTTGCTTGGAAAGGCCACAGAGCACACTTTAGCTCAGCTGTTCAGAACAGGTACTGTACCAAGAATGGAAAGCAAAGCAAAGATACCTGTGGCAGTTAATTTCAGTTCCAATTAAAATACTTAAAAATACAAAGCAAGCGTAGAAATTCAAATATGTTCTTGGAAAGAAAAAGAAAAGCATGTGAGATCTAGCAACAGGATGGCAGCATGGTGAAACAGTAATCTGAAATGAAAGTATAAAACATATAAGGAATTTAGCTTGATAGATGGGAAGTAGGCACCGTGGCTAGACAGGAAATCAGAGGTTTTTGAAACTTGTGAGAGGAAAATGTGAAATGGTCTGAACAGACGTAGAAACAAGTGAAATAGTGGAACGGTAGAGAAGCATGAAAGCAGATGCAAAGTGGAAGGAGTTTAGGTATAGACAGGGCACATTCTGATTCGAGTCTGTGCCATTGAAAGAAAACGAAGAAGTGTTTTGGATCCCACTGCCTATAACAAATAAAAAATAAAATAAACATAGAGATCTGGAAAGGTTTTCACGAGACAGAGTGGAACATCCCCAGATGCCAATGTATAGACTGAAATACGAGAGCCCCATCACACATCCGTACAAAAGGCAGTGGGCTGGATGACTTCATCGTGCTGGCTTAAAATACAGCGATACAGGAAACGAGGGAAAGGACAAATCCCAGCCTATTCCTTTTGTCTTGTGAGAAGGAGATTGTCTCGTCTTCTCCGTTCAGGAGTGAAGGGTGCCACGCCTATTCCGAATACTACATACCTAAATAATAATTTGCTGGTCTTGTTGCCTGATTATGAAGGGAAATTTGGAAACCCACTCTAAATGAATCACTGCTCAAAGGGTGTCTTGCTGAGAAACTCGCTTCTGTGACTCGGAGAGAAATAAGTAGTCGTAAGAGAATACGTGCTTGAAAACTGTCATCTGTGCTTAGAGGTGATCCTGAACCAACGAAGATGCCAGGCAGAAATGGATTCTGTAAGAGATCTTACACTTCGATCGCTCTTCTTCCTCTTTTTCCAGTTGCTCCAAAAGCCTAATCATAGTTGTATGGACCTCACGTTTCCACTCTATGTGGGAAAAGATTTTTCTCCCTTCTGAGTTCACATGTTGCTTGAGGTGACCAAAATAATTTTTTGTTCTTCCTGATGGTCTCTGAGCAGCCCTGCCTGCAGATTTGGGCCGGTGCAACACTCGCTTGGGAGCGTTCCAGACCTCGCAACTCTCCTCCTCTAGGGGGTCCCTCATGCTGGACGCTTTGCGTGGGGGTCGGGGAGAAACGACAGCCGGGACCTCCTTTCCTGGTTTTCTTCCAAGGGCAGTAGACAGAAGTGTTTAAAATGGACAGAGAAACTAGTGCTGTGCTGCCCTTGAACACAGTTTATATTGTCTTCCAGAAGTGTGAGGGTCGCAGGTAGAAGAAGAAACACGATCTGTTGCCATGTATTTCCTGCAAGGAACTAGGATTCCTTTGTTATAATCAGCAGCTGTATAAGCTGTTCAGAACTCAACAACAACCCCTGGGGATTCATGTGATCAGAGGCTGGTGTTCACGTTCCTTAATTTCTCTCTGTCTCATGGGGCATGCCTGTTGCTGAATCCTCGGGCTGACATCCTGTGGGGCCACGGATGGCGTGTACTGTCACAGTAACAGTGGATTTCCCATTCATGCAAAGAGTGGGGCTCATTGTAGGAATCCAGCCTATGCTTGTTGTACAGCAAGACACTGAGAGCACCTCTTCATTCAAGGGCTTTAAATCCCCACATAGGAGCTTAAACAGGAAAGAACTCTTGAGATACTATGAATGAGGAGTGAAGGCTTTCTCAAAACTAGTGATAGCTAGAATTGACAATTGTTATGTGCATGGGGGTGCATTACATTCCTGACAATTTCTCATTGGCTGAAAAAGTAGTGTTCAGTAACAGTAAGATTGGCTTCCTGAGCCATTTTTATGGATGTTTAATCTGTGACTGTAGTTTAGATTTTACAAGGGTTTGTAGCAAGCTGGTAGCTGAGCCGTTTTGGTGGTTAAGAGAGAGGCCGGACAAGGAAGTGACAAGAGGCCCCAGCTGTTTGCAAGGATAAGGGAAGGTAGCATGGTGTTCTTTTTCCTGTTCAATTCCATGTGTGTCTCCCCCACCCCTCATAGGTGAACAGGGAAGCTTTAGCCATGGATCTGTTATTGACGGAAGATTTGAAGGATTCATCAAAACGCACAGTGGGACCTTCTATGTTGAGCCAGCAGAAAGATACATTAAGGACATAACGCTGCCTTTTCACTCAGTGATGTACCATGAAGATGACATTCGTAAGTGTCTCCTTTTCTCTCTTGCATACTGTGAAAAACACATCCCAACTGTGAAGTGCTTTTTGTTTGTTTGTTTGTTTGTTGGAAGCAAGCCTTCTTAGTGGCTAGACTGTTTGGGGTTCTTCTGCAGCCAGTACTCACCGGCAGGCTGTTCTGCGGTGTCCTATAGGCTGAGTATTGGAGCCTGGAGGAGGGCGATTTTCATTTCAGCTGTTGGTTCTTGCCTGACATGGTTCTTGGAAATGCTCGGTCAGTTTTTTTCCAGAAGTATATGCACAACTCTGAGATAGTTCCATGTTGTTCAAAGTATTTTATAAAGCATTTTACTTTATGTAATTATTTGGCTAGCCTTTATTATATTGCCTTGTGTAGAAAATATGAAATTGCGAAGATCAGGTTCTAGCCTGCAGACTGAAAATAAATAATGGTATCATGAAGAATTAAAGAAATGTCTTCAGAAAGAAATTTATAAGATGCTTACTCTTTATTAGCTGGACAGTCTTAGGTATACTGTTTTGTAGAGCTCAGGGATTTTATGGCTGTGAGTGGAATTTTGTTTTCAGAATCTGGTGTTCCTGTCCTTCCAGCTGCAGTCCTCCTCACACTAGCCCCTTTTCAGAATTGGGGTGCTGCAGAAGGGGATGGGATGGTGTGAGGGAACATATTTCTCTTATTTGTCTATTTATTTAATTTATATCCAGCCTATTTAGACCGAAGTCTACTCTAGGCAGCTAACAAAAATATTAAAATGAAATGAAACAACAATATTAATACACTAGAGGATGGCGAAAGAAGTTAGGTATCGACAGGAGGGAAGGCCTGCCTGAAGAGCCAGGATTTAAGTGGGCTTTTAAAAATGCCCAGTGAGGGAGCCAGGCAGATCTCTGGGGGGAGACTGTTCCAGAGCTGAGGGGCCACTGCTGAGAAGGCCCGCTTCCTTGTTCTTTCTCTTTGAGCCTCCCTCGGCATGAGGCCCCTCAGCTGACCTTCCTGGCTAGAACGAGTGATATGGGTAGATCTGGGTGGGAGAAGGCGGTCCACCACATACTGAGGTCCTACACCGTTTAGGGCTTTATATGTCATCATTAACACTTTGAAATCAAAGCGGAAACAAACAGGTAGCCAATGCAAGGCCACCAGAGTGGGGGAGGTATGTTGATGTTTTCTCACCCTAGTAAGAAGTCTGGCCGCTGCATTCTGCACCATTTGAAGCTTCTGTGTCAATCGCAAAGGTAGCCCCACATAGAGCGCATTACAGCAGTCTAATCTCGAGACTACAAGCTCATGTACCAGAGTGGTGAGGGCCCCGACATCAAGATAGGGTTGCAGCTGGGCAATCCGCCACAGATGGAAGTAGGCGGTAGGGACCACTGACACTACCTGAGTTTCCATGGTAAGTGCCGGATCAAGATGCTGGGCCACCCACCCTCAGGACCTTCGTCTTGCCCGGGTTCAGCCTCAGGCCATTCGCCTGCATCCATCCCAGTACGGCATCCAGACAGCGCCGAAGGGGCGGAACGCCATCCACTGTGGTTGGAGAAAAGGAGATGTAGAGCTGGGTGTCGTAAGCATACTGATGACATGAAGCCTCACACCCCCCAATGACCCCACCCAGCAGCCTTATATAGATATTAAACAGCATTGGGGAGATAATCGATAATGTTATCTGTGAGGGACATGCCGCTTTGCCTCCTCATAGCATCTCAGAAGCCTTTTGGGTTTAAGTGAAAGGAATGGCTAGAACATCTGTTCCTGTTATGATGGGAAACGGTTCAACAGGCCCCAAGTTAATTGATAAAAAGGCTGGTTAGTTCAAATCAATTGGTGGGCATTCAGCTCCCATCTCTGATCTTCACTGAATACTCTATTGTCCGTGGTCCCCAGTCCTTGACTATTCACGTCAGGCTTCCTTTATTTCCATTTATTGACATACCTGCGCTGCTCCTTCGGTTCCTCTCCCCTCTGGGTTCACAGCCTCTTACCCTCTCTGTCGCAGGCTCTTTTTCCAGTCCACAGTTTCCCAGTAAAGTTGTTGCCCATAAGGACAGTGCGGGATTAAATGCAGCCCAACAGGCCCGTTTCCCCACCCGTCACAGAAATTGGGTGCCCCGCGTTTTGTCAGCACAGAGCCCAGCAGCTCCAACGGAGGTTGTCAGGAGCTTCCATGCCACAAGAAAAACCTGCACAACACAATAAGCCCGACCACTGGGCTGGAAGCAAAGGACAAGCTTGGCAAGACTGCCAAAGAAAGAGAGAGGAAGAGGAGATGTATGGGGAATGAACTAGCAGGTGTCATCCATCGCTCTGTCCGGTAGGGAACAGGGTACTGACCATTGTGTCTAAGCTAATGGCAGAATAAAGTAGAAATGGATGTAGTTAATATTTGACTACAGGAGGCCTCTGGCCCCCTGTGTTACTCTGCAGGGCGGTAACATGGCCACTCTGCCTTCAAACAAATGTGTGAGATAAAGCAGGAATCTGTGTTTCTAATGAGTGAGCCTGGCCCTCTTTCGGGTTTTGGCAAGAATATCCTTTTAGCAGCTTTCAAGCACAACAATGTGACATATGTTTAGCATCACAATGAAGTCTTATTCAGAGCTTAAACAAAAGCCTATTCTGGAAGGGAGAGAGTCAGTCTTACAGACGCTTCCTACAGAGTCCTTTGTCCCTGTTGCCATGAAATTGGTGGCCAGTGAAAGGCAAACCTTCTGTTCTAATTTCAAAATACCGTACACTATCTGTATTCATGCTTATATGTGGAGTTGATGATAATGATTATCCCCAGTAAGTTTGTGTGTGTGTGTAATGTTCTTTCTTCTCTGCCTTGAAAAAGGAATTGTCACAGTAAATTGTTGTCTGTGCTTGACAATAAAGTCTCTTACAAAATTCAGGAATGGCTGAAATTTTGAAAGGTTTTGCAGAACCATCCTTGTGGGGAAGGTAAACAAGGAGAGCTATTGAGAGGGTTGGAGAGGGTGGGCCTTGACCCTGTTCGGCCCTCTGAGCTTTCCCATGATGCCAGATATTCTGCAGTAGTGATCTGTCCAGAAGTTGACGGTTGGATCTGCCACTGGTGGGTGTGTTCGTAGGGTACAGTTGAATGGAAGAAAGCAGCTGTCTTTGTGTGGGAGCTGGCTTTCACATTGGAGGATGTGCCCTTGAGAGCAAATGGAGAAATTCTCTTGTTGCGCACATTAGGTGTCTACTCGCAAGGCGAATCATTCTCGCCTTCGGCAGCTAGGGCCCATTATGGCCGCAGAGTATCTGAATGTCTGTTCTTAAGTCCAGAGACTGTATGCCAGTCCCATGTGAACAAGCAGGCCATGTCAGGTCAAAGCACCCACCTGTAGAGAGAGGGGGGTGTGCCTGCTGCAACTGCGCATCTGGTTTGCTTCTATCGGAGGTGCACAATCTTGCAGCATCAGCTGAAATTGGAGCACTCTGCGGCCAACGGGGGATGTGTTGAACAGTTTTTGTTCCTACATAGTCGCCTATCTTCACAGCCCAAAGAGTAGAGCTAGGCAGGGTGGACCTCATTGTGGCCCATAAGGAACCTGGAATGCTTTTTGAACAAACCTGTGGAAGAGAAACCACTAACAGCATCTTTTGGGACCTGCGCCCGAGATTTCCTTGTGTTGCTTGCTTCTCTCTTTTAGCTGGACACTTCCAGCCATCCCAAGCTTTTGCAACCTGCTAATACCAGTGGCATTTGGGCTATGCAAACATTTCCCACCCACCCCCAGTGGCTGCTGATACCGGGAGTAGCGAAGCTGCAGCCAGAGGCACTGTTTCTACTAGGAACCAATTTGTACATAATTGAAGCCTTGCTGCTTGCATGTCGTATCAAAATGCATGTTTTGTTACGGCTGCCAAGTCAAAACCAAAGGATATTGTGGGCTGGTGTGTTTCATTGTATGGAGTCTGTGCGGAATTCGCCTCGTTACTTGTATTGAGGGTTGTAAGAAACCAGTGTGTTAGTTATCTCTGTATAAAGTCCCACTCATCTATTATTATACCCCTATCCCCCAAAAAAGTCTTTGGGGGGCGGGATATATTGCATTCATCATTCACAAAATTGGAAAAGTAATTAATGCTAACTCCTTTACAGTTTCCAGCTATTTTGAAATCACAGTAATATTGACCTAGGAAGAATTCATTTTAAAAATTGGGGAAGGAAGAGTCAAGCACTTTAATTTTAAAACGACCAAAAGGCAGAAACATGTGGGTTGTTGTGGCTTTACCTTCAGTTTCATAAAGTCACTTGGTTTGTATTTCAGGATATCCACATAAATATGGACCACAGGGGGGTTGTGCAGATCATTCTGTATTTGAAAGAATGAGGCATTACCAAATGACAGGCGCAGAAGAGCCAACTAACCAGGTATGTCATGCCAAGAAAATGTCAATTTGCTATTTCATCTGATCGAAAGGTTTGTCACTTTTAAAAGGGGATTTTCTGGTCTTGGCCAGAAGACCTAATCTGACCATAGGCTCCTGCGGTTCAGTTCAAGGTTCCCCCCCCCTCCAATTCAAAGAGCTGCAGTTGCATGCCTGCTTCTGAAATTTGTCTCTCTTTGGGTTTTCTGCTGATCAGAGCAGGGGCAGGGCTGACGGGGCACAAGTCCAGAAATCCCTCAGGTGTGTGAAACTGGTCAGATATTCTTTGAAGTCCAACCAGATTGTTTCATCATTTAGTGAACATTACATTTCTTTCCATTAAAAACCTGAAGTTCTGAGATGTTATCTGTAGCCAACAATATGGATACATTGGCTGAGCTGAATTATTAGATTTCTGGTTTCTATTAAAAGTTAATTGCATGTTTTAAAAATGTTTTTAAATACCTGTCAGCAGCAGGTCTGGAAACCTGGCTGGGGATTTCTTCAGGCTGAAAAAATATGTCTTTATTCATTGAAATATCATTCATGCATTTAGCTGGCTCATGAGCTGTTTTATTTCCTCTTAGTCCTTGGATAAACTTTGTATGCGCCAAATTAATTGGAGGCAAATGTTCTTGAGAGCCAAGTCGGTGTACCAGCACGTATGGTAATAAGGGAATTTTGGCTGGCTTTGAGCCGCCGTTACCGTAAATGGTGCAGAGAGATGGATCCAAATTGTTCTCTCTGTCTCTTGCTCAAAATGATGGTTGGTTGTTTCTAAAGATGAAGGATAAAAGTTTTTGGACTTTCCACATCGTTGCCTATATTGTTCCACAACATTTACTTTCCCATGTGCAGTGTTAGTAGCCAGGTTTTGTTTTTTAAAAAAATCTTCTATCCCTCTTCCATTGTGTTTAACCTTTCCATCATTCAGTTTGTCTCTGTATTCCTGGAAGTGGAAGACTGTATAGAGGTGTTATTTGTAAGCATTACTCAGTTTCTCTGCTTCGTGTGCTGCAGCAGCCTTCAGAGGAACAAACCAATCATGGCCCAGAACTCTTACGAAAAAAGCGAGCCGCACAGGCCGAGAAAAACACGTGTCAACTTTACATTCAGACCGACCATCTATTCTTCAGATATTATGGAACAAGAGAAGCTGTGATTGCACAGGTGAGCACGTGACGGTTGCTTTGTATCTGAATTCTCTTCCAAAAAGGGGTGGAAAGGGGATGCCTTGTCAGGCCCTCTTGCCACACTGCCTGGCTCCTCTGGAATTCTCTTCCAAAAACGGGTGGAAAGGCCCTCTTGCCACACTGCCTGGCTCCTCCAACACACGCTCCGGGCCCAACCACAGCCATCCGGTATTTTGCTGACAAATTGCCAAGCATGGAAGTGTGTAACTGGTAGTTTAGGCTTTGTGCTGCATTACTTGCCTGGCTGTCAAACTGTGCTTTCTTTACAGATATGTATTCCCCCCCCCCTTCTACATAATAAGCGCCTGTGTGAGGAAATTGGTGGGGTCATAACACTTTCAGTAATGAGTGTTGGGTCTTAGCGGAGAGCGTGTATAAAAAGCCCCTGGTTCACCTGTAGTTGATTGTGTACATTTCCGGAGAGCCTTGAACGGTGAATATGTCATGACTTGAGAGGAGGACATTTTCCTCGGTCTTTGGTGTGCCACCGACATTCATACGCACAGAGCCAAAATTTTCCCCTTTTTTCTTCCCCTTTAGATATCCAGCCATGTGAAAGCAATTGACACCATTTATCAGTCAACAGATTTCTCAGGAATCCGAAACATCAGTTTTATGGTGAAAAGAATAAGAGTATGTATCCTATAACTTCGTTCTCAGAATCCCTTTCCTTTCCTTCTTGTGGGTGACTTGCGTGTTCTTAGAATTAAAGGTGCGCCCGTAGCATGCAATGTGTTCTGGTGCTTCGGTGTTGCTGGTTATGATGCTTGTTGTTTGTGCTGTTACACTTGAGGAATCAAAGATTGGGACAGAAATCTCCAAACGTAAACTAGAGACAGACTAGCTGTCTAGCAGAAAGGAGCTCGCCAAGCATCCCCACCCTCCATTTCCTCTTTCCGGATTTCCTTGAACTCTTTGGGGATGGCAGAGGTTTAACTACAGTTTTCTGTGCTTCTCCAGGAAGTACAGCCCTTCTGAGCCTTTTGCTGCTTTTACCTTTTCCTGCTGGTTCCCTCTCAGGCAGGGCCGGTCCTGTTTTGAGACTCTGTAAGGATGAGTAAACTCTCCATGGGTGGAATCAGTAAAAACGTGGATACGTTCACAAGTAGATCTCAACAAGTACATTGGGAAGCTTTCCCTTCTCACCTTCTCTCCTTAATTTCCAAAGGGGTGCTGTACTTCCATTTCCTCTGTGAATCAGTTTGTGCGTGAGTCACCCACCATGGAGGGGGGAGGTTACATAATGTGTATTATTGTATGTGTTAATTAGCCTTTTAAGCCAGTGATTCTTATACGAACAGACTGTCTAAAAAGGTAGGTTTTATTTTTCTTTCAGATCAACACCACTCAAGATGAGAAAGATCCTTCCAATCCCTTCCGATTTCCAAACATAGGTGTAGAGAAATTTCTGGAGCTCAATTCAGAGCAGAATCATGATGACTACTGCTTGGCCTACGTGTTTACCGACCGTGACTTTGATGACGGCGTCCTTGGTTTGGCCTGGGTTGGAGCCCCTTCGGGTGAATATTTGGCTTTTATGCTTTGCTTCAGGGCTTGTACGGAGCAGCCAGCTTGCTTGGGAAGGCTTCAAGATCAACCTCCGGTTAAATGATCTTTAGTAGTTTGGCAGAGGGAATGATCTCACCTTCATCCCTGAAGAGCTGCTGTCTGTTGGCCTCGCAGGGGTGGTTAAAACCATGTGTTGTCTGACACATGATACAGCCACGCCTTTGTTTCCAAAGTCTTTCAGCTGATGCCCTGGTGGATCAACAACTCGTGTGAAAGGAAGGGGCAGCATTCCTTCCTGTCCCTAAAGGCATTTGGGGAACTCCCCTTATGGTGTAACAGAGTAGTCCTTCTCCCCCCCTTCCTGTTTCAAAATAATGATAGCATGCTCCCTCGCCCCACAAAATTATTTGGAGAGCTGTGGATGAATTGGCAATTTGCTGCTTCAGTGCAGCAGTGAATCTTAGGTAGACACAGAAAAGGGTGGGACAGTTTCATCCAGCTGTTACATTGGCCTGGTACAAGCGAAGCTAACCACTCTGTTAGATCGTTGCCCGCTTAAATTAAATAGAATCAGTGGGATCTCGTAACTTTGGAATGGGGCATATGAAACGGTTGTTTTCTCAGATAAATAGGCATAAGGTGATGAAGTCTTAATCATACTAAGCAAAAATGTTGTTATGCTTTTGGGGACTTTCCTCTCACATTGAGAACAAAGAGTGTACTATCACATACAGTATATATGTTTTCTCAGGAGTCTTGTTAACTGCAAGTGTTTGGGCCAAAGAGGCAGCTTGTGTCTTGCTTGATGAGGTGTGTCAAACGGAGAGAATCAGTCTTTCTCGAAGAGCATCGTTTCTTATTGGAAAAATGCCGCCTGCAAATGAGAAAGATCTCCCTCCAATTGCCAAAATCGATAGCTCCCTCTTCAGCTCATACTCAGTGCTGGTTAGGGCAGGAGGCTGTGGTTGGAGTGGGAGGGGTGCCTCCCATGTAGATTTAGGTTTTTCCTGTCTTTTGCTCCCCATTAATATCCAGCTTTCTGCCTGCAAAGCGAGGAGGAGAAATCAAGCAGGCCTCCCACAGTCTCCTTGCACTTGGGCCAGGTGGTGATTCAGGGGCCGACAGGGAGGGGGCTGTCAGGTTTTTTGGGACCACAGGAACCAGAGGTCTGCTGGGATTCCCCTAGCTAGGATTTTGGCAGCTTCAGGGCCCCCGCCTCGCCCCCCCCGCCAAGCCCTCTCAGGCATGTGAAAGAACAGCTGCTAAATAAGTGAGAAAAGATGGTGCCAGGGCTCTGTGAGAGCAACGTTCCTGTCTTCGGGGGAGTTGCTGGTAACATCTGCCGTCCCCAGGCACTGGGTGAGAGACAGTGCCTGGGAGTATTTCTGGCCTGCACTCCCCTACCCTTCAGGACCGGGACCCTGCTGCTGCTGCTGCTGCTGCTGCTGCTTTGGGCAAACCCACCCCTTCCTCAACACCAGCCACCTGGCTGGAAGGGGAGGGAAGCTTTAAAAGCAAGAAGCTGGTGCCAGGGCTCTCTGAGAGCAACGTTCCTGTCTTCGGGGGAGTTGCTGGTAACATCTGCCGTCCCCAGGCACTGGGTGAGAGACAGTGCCTGGGAGTATTTCTGGCCTGCACTCCCCTACCCTTCAGGACCAGGACCCTGCTGCTGCTGCTGCTGCTGCTTTGGGC